AAGGGCAACATCTTCTTGTATTCTACTCTAAGCTTCCGGCCCTGAAGATCGAAATGGTTCAAGACATCAATTACAGTTGCCGTTTCCTCGGCGGTTGTAAAATTTGCGAACGCAAGGCCCCTAAAAACACCATTGTCGAAGTGATAGTTGAATGCGTATGGAAGCGGCAAGTTAAGCTCTGTCATCAATTGCACCAGTTGTTCCTTCTTGACAGCAAATGGGATATTCTTGATTACGATCGCTGTAGGTATCAACTCCTCGTCGGGATCCGATCCAACAGTCTCGGTTCTCATAGGGGACGGGCCCAGTGGAACATTCCCCATACCGGCAAGTGGCGAAACCGTGGGCAAAGATACGGGTGCAGTATCAGTCCACATCTATCAGAAGGTTAGTTTGCAATTCGACCCATCAATACCTGCTGCCTCCCTACTGCTACATACCGCTGGTAAAGCACTACGTTGCCTTGATGGGGTCTTGATCCTGCCAGTAGCGCCACCCATAGCAGCCAATGCACCACCACCTCCAAAACTACTTGCATTCCAAGTCTGCGCCCCTGAATCGTACCCATACCCAGTGACCGCACCTAAACGGGAAGAGTCGCCATAACGAGAGTCGAACCTTGCGGCGTGGTCCTCGGCAGTGTAAAGACCACTCTGTGAAGCAAATGTTTCAAAATGCCTTGAAGAGGCTCGATGGAGACTCTGATGCTGCTGTTGTTGGTGCTGGCCAGTTGGTGATCGTGAGGAGCCGATGGTGTCGTAGTATCCGTCGTGATGGCTAGCCATTGCTATCGCTTAGATGGTATGATAAATGTTTAAAAGGGTTTAAATATGTATTTATAGAGCACTTGTAACAAGGTCCCTTTGGTCAAGTTTAAAAGTGAAGGATATCGAAGCCCCTTTGTTGGAAAAGAAAGGAAAAGAAAAGAAAAACTTTGATGATTCCTGAACGACGTCAGATCACCAAATAAACCAACTACCGTCTTAACGTAACCGTAGTTTCTTCTCTAGATGACTCTTGCAGTGACGTTTCGTCGTTCTCTCTCTGTTTTCTTTATTGGAATTAAATGATTTTGTTGTAGCGAACCTTGTATTAGAAGTGCGGTATTGTTGTGAATGCTTTCTCGGAAGATCGTCCCGATTTAAATTGAAGTCTTTCTTTTGTAATGTGGAAAAAAAATATAGAAATATATGAACCCGAACGAAGAAGATGATGCTGGACAAATGCTGATGCCTTTTTAGGATGAGTAGGATATAATTTTTGCTATTCTTTCTCTCGATAATGTCACAAAGTCGTCTTTCCGTTGCGTGGCTCGTGAATAATCGTTAAAAGGCGTGGGTCTCGTTAACGGGAAAGGGGCGGGGAAGTCGTTATGATGAGGGGTTTTCTCCGTCTCTAGTCTCGTCGTGAAATGTGGTAAGGGGTGTTCCAGTCCACCAGAGTAAGATTTGTGGCGGTGGAGGGGGTAGGTGTAGTAGGGGGTTGAGGAAAGGAAGGCGTTGAAGAGTGAATGAATGAGTGATGAGATGAATAGGAGCGAAATGTCCTGAAGGGGGGTGGAGGAGGGGTGGTTAGAGTGTGACGGGGGTCTGATTGAAAAAGGAGGTGTGATCAGAGCCGACGGAGGAGGAGGGCACGGGTAGTCTGAATAGCTACGGGGGGGAGACGGTTCGGGCAGCAACAAAGCTGGGGGGAAATGAGTGTGAAAAAAAAACGAAAAAAACGAAAGAAAAAGTAGATGCACTAGAAGCACGAGCACACGAAGACAGGCGAATCAAGTGTAACCTTTACAAACTCGTTCGAGAAGTCTGCAGCTGGCTGACCACTTGGAGATAAATTTGCTGAACGTTTGTAAAAACTTATTGGGGAATGACGGAAGGATCTCCTACGCTACATAAGTTATGTGGATTATACTGCTAAGAGGCACGGGAGCAGCAACAACGACGGCTAGCTGTCTGGTTGGCTATTTAGATGCGATGCGATGCGAGGGGAGAATGAGGAAAAGTGGGAGAGTGCAGCATCAATTGGAGCGAGAGGAAGAGGAAGGAAAGGGGGTCACAGCCAAAAAGACAGATTGCTACCCTATCCAAACTCTCCTGAGATCGGGCCTGGGATGATACAGTATGGAGAGCTGTAGGTATTACAGCAAAGCCAAAGAACTCGCTTTGCGCCGCTTGTGGCTCTTTGGCCTACCCGTTCATGGCCAAGCATTCGGCGGATTGCTCACTCTTGGTTGGAGCTCCAGAATAACGAATAACAGTGGATGAGAGGATGAGCGGATGGACTGCATATGGTACATCTATGTACAGAATAGGAACTCTCTCCAGGATAAGATTATTACTGCATGTAATCAGGTATCTACATGTAGGCACTCTACCTGTGCCAAACACTCGTAGAGTACTCTAGAGTAGCTACATGTGAATTTACTTATAAGTTATGTAGAGCATGTACTCTACGAGTCTACTTTATGAATGTGCTTTATGTGTATGCAGGCAGCCTGACGAGATTCTACTGAAGAACAATATGTAGGTACAGCTTATGCACACTTCCTCGGCAAAAACACTATCCACGGCTCAAAAACTCCGACAACAACCAGCCAGTCAGCTTTGGCCTCTGAGCTACAAGGGGTGGCGGTCAAAACAATATGTAAGTAACTTGTACCCGTCCTGCCATATAGCTGGCAGACCATAGAAGTCTTGTCGTGCTGTCGTGTACCATAGAACAGGGCTCATCCAAGAAACCGACGTGCGCGGCCTCAATTTCTCACTTAATGTCGAGTCAAGGCTCCCTCCCAGAGCAATATGACATGACATGACAAAAGTAGCAGCCCCGCCAGAATATCCAGACAGATTGAAGAACGAAGGGAAGAAGAAAACAAGAGAAGGGGAAAGAAGAAAAGAAAAATCACGATCATGCAAAGGAAACAACAAGAAACACCTACATACAAGGTACTGTACCTCCTCCACCCACTCACTACCTGGAGCAAATTCTTCCCTCCAGCTAAATTCCTAGCTAGGTAGAGTACCAGATGACTTGAGCTCTGCCCCTTCCCCCACCATCTAAACCCGGCCCCTCCCGCGGCCAATACATGTATCATATCGGACAAGAAGGTTTCTATCACGCTAGAACAAATACTCTCTTCCTCATTCCCCGCTTGGACCACATTTTATACCCTGTCTGTCGGTGTCCCGCCGTAGGTAGTGCCCACGAAACGAAAACTACCTGCATAGGCCATACAGAAGTTCTCTGTCGGGATGGATCACGCCAGTTGTGCTGTGCGGTGCAGGAAACCTCCGGGTTCTTCTCTTCTTCTTCATGATACACAAATCAAAAACAAAACCAAGACCAAAACAACATATGCATAAGACTTATCGCGATCCTCACGATCACGACTTGCCAGCCTACATTAAGGGCCACTCAGCATGAAGGAAGGGAAGTCGAGAAGAAAAAGCAGTGCATCCGATGTACCGAAAAATAGTCAAGAACCTTGGCTTATAAAACTACATATCTACTCTACGAGTCTCCGAGTTTAGAGTATCCAAAAACAAGTGCAGTACAATTTCAAGGTATTCAATCAAGACTTCCTGACCAAATCAGACCAAATCAAATCAAATCTTCATAATCATACATATATAAAACTAAGTTTCCGTTACAACTTACCGGTGCTTCCCTACATGCTATCCAATCCCGAACCTAAGAAAAAAGGAAATAAAAAGGAGAAACAGAACGAGCAAATGAAGGAAGGAACAAATGTGTTACCAAGAAAGAAACCAGCACCATGCATGTCGTCCCGTGCATCTGTTGGGTCTACTCTTATCACGTGCGAGTATGATGAGTGGTGTGGGAACTTGGAATGGAAGGGGTGTTGTTATGATCCTTTTTCAGGATTCCTACTTTCTGATAGGGATGCGTCGACCATTTTGGGTTCCCCTCTTTGGGAATATTTTCTAAAAGGGAAATTTCTCTACTCTGCGGACGTCTAGGACAGTTATACCTACATCTATATACTCCACAGGATTAAGTACGTTACTCTCTTCGTAGGTACAGTTCTACCTACTCTCGACTCCATCTACGGAGATTTGTCAGGGCTGGAGGGGGTTCTGTTACCACTGCATAAATACACTAGATATGCAGCCCAGGTATGAGATAAATTCCGGATGATTGCCCACATCTTCGAGAACTTCTAGAGTGCCTCTCCCCATGGATGGTGATTTCGGAGCTGTCTCTCCACAAAACCCACCAAGACTATTTGTGTATCTAAATATGATACCTAAACCCAAGTACCAAGAGCCAGAACCAGAGTCGAGTCGCATGACCAATTACCCCCAACACACGTCCATCCGCCGCCTCAATCATCCCCGGACGGTCTAACTGGATGACTGGCTGATCGATTAACGTTCAGCAACCTTCAGGTATGTACCTGTGAGATGAGTTGAGCTATGAAAATATAGCTGGATATGAATGCGGACAGACAGACAAGCTCATTACCGGCACAGTACACGCATGCCATCTACAGGCAATCGATATGGAGATTGCTCTAAGGGAAAAGGTCCAGGTCACAAAAAAATAAAAGAAACCGACAGGCAGGTCCATCACTTAAGGCAAGACGACGCGACAAGATTGGGTAAAGCATGTCTAAGACTCTATTACCCACCTACCCTAGATACGCGACGGCACATACAAAAGGGGAGAGAGGCTCTCACGTACCGCAATTCTGACCCACGGGTTTCCGCCCCTCGGACCCGGAAAGTACTGTGCCCCTATCATGGGTTGCGTCGATCCCGAAAAGCCACTGGATCATTGGCACTTGAGACTTTCTTCTAACCTGGGGAGGAAGGACACCTTGCAATCCTTTGAGATGAGATGGGATCTGATCTGATATGTAGAGGGTAGATATGTGGCGAAGCATATCTATTTGATCCAAATGTGGAATCCAATTCGTCGGTGCGTACGGATTTACCCGGTTGTGTAGGTTGGGTTGCCTAGTCTCTTCATGGAATATGGTTCGGACATGGTAAGGGCGGTTCGTCCCGAAGTTCGTCCCAAGATTCGTCCCGAGACTTAAAACGGTTCCGGTTCTATTTTCTTTTTTGAAATCATGGCATCGTTATCCCTCGATTCTGAATATAGAAGTTATAATACTCTACAGGACGCTTTGTATGCGCAAGTTGAGAGCTTGGACAGAAATTCTGCACATCTTATTGGTTGTGTTGACGTACCTACCCCTCCCTCCTCATCCACACTGCACTGCAGAACGTGCTGTTAAGCTTTTAATTTTTGTTGAATCCACGTTGGTAAAGATCTCTTCCGGCATTAGTGCTATCTTTCGATCAATCTGAAAACCCCCATGGTAAGCCACTCTATTTGAATTCAGGCACCTGAGAATCTACATACTCACATTTTCGGATCTGCAGGAGCCACTTCTCAGAAGCTATATGTACGTATAAGGACACCCAGTTTTAAGATATCGATCAGGAATATCAATTACCTATATCGGCAACTGATATCGACGGCTAATACAGGAAAGACCCCCAGAGTTGTATCCCGTAACCAAGACAAGTAAAGGAAGAGGTAATATAATGGGATACTTTTATTTTATATTTCAATTGTCCCTGTAGCGGAGAAAATATCCAGCCAAAAAGAAAAGGCGTCGAGCATGGTATGTACTTTCTATCGATTGCATAGGCCTCACTTTTCCTTTATATAAATAACCATCTTAGCACAGGACTCGAGCAGTGGTTGTGATAGGAGTGATATATACTTGGCCTCGGTCATTGGAATAAGTTCTTGGCCGTGTGTGGTCGTAGAGGAGCTGGGTCACGCCAAACCCAACATCATAGGACGAAGTAGTTATTCAAAATATATATCAAATGTGTTTGAGGTGTCAAGTTCCTGCTGACTGGGGCAAATTTACTTAGATTTGGGGTCATTTCCACTCATCTCTTGTTTAGCCAGCGGCAATTTAATTTCGGCTTCCCTTCTAGGGAAGCGCCCCAGGAAGATATTTACAATTCGATACATACATTATACTACATATAACTCTCAAAAGTTTACAGAAACCATGCCTCCACTCTCCACAGTGGAAAAGCTATCGACTCGCTTTCCGCAGAAACACGTGCACTTACAAAGCGCCGGGTCCTCCTCTGGACTCGTTTCATTATATTCTGCAAACATTGATTAGCACTGAAACTATTCTCCCTCATAGATGAATTTACACGCTTTCATATCTATTCAAAAGGCATATTTGTAGACGGGGGGAACTTACTAACATAAGACTTCCAAAACTCAAACACCACAAGTAGCAACGATACAACCGCAACAACTTGTCCAAACCCCCACCTCTCCTCCGCATCTTCACTTAGCAACTCCCTATTTGCTTTACGATACCCTAACACGCCACACAGCGTAAAAACCGTCCAGAAGATCATGACTGGCAGACAGAGGGCGGCTGAAAACACAAGGTCTCCAGCGAGCCTCATCCACGGCCACGACCCTTTCACGAACATCTTTACAAAGATGCCGCAAATAGTTGGTAGATAGCCACACACGAAAAAGACAAGATTGACCAGGACCCAGCCCAGTAGTGAATCCCGCTCAGTATAGCTACCAACACAATATTTAGCACTACACGCGCGGAAACAATCCTGCTCGAGGTCCCATCGCCGCCGAACACTCGTGTACGTCAAGCCGCAGTAGACAGCGTACAAAACAGCATACAGCGCCACCGCCGCATACCGCACTATATTGAACCGCCCATACGGCTTCTCGTCCCAAACGTACATGATGGCCAGATGATGTGATAGCGATGGGATCCACGCCATGTTCCCAACCATGATAGCGTGATAGGCACTTAGCTTAGGGAACTGAGACAGCGAGGCTACCATCAGGGCGATTCCAGACAGGGTCTGCATGTCCGAGGTCAGCAGGATGATGTCTGTCATCATTGCCGCGCGGAGCGGATTCGCGGGGTGGAGGGAACGCGGAAGCGTGGGGAGACCCCCAAGGTGCCCTCCAGCACGGAGGTATTTGTAGGCGAGGGGCGGGAAGGTGATGAGGCGATTCCAGCGGCCCGAGAAGTAGTACATGCAGATGCCGATTAGGCTGGCGAGAAAGCCTTGCACGAAGAAGGCGGAGATCACCTGTAGTAGTCGTGATAAGTCCCAAGTTAGCGGATAAGCCAAGTTAGCGTTTGTGGGGGAAAATGATACGCTGGAAGGCAACGTGGGGGGAGGGAGGAAAGGCGGGCACAACAACTCACACCGATCCCGCTGATGTCGGGATTTGAGAGTATTTTTGCCTCGCACCACCATTTCTGAAAGCCTTCCTCCTCAGTCTCCATGGCGGGCTTGGTTTGCTTTGCTTCTTCCTGGCGGATTTCCATCTCGAAAAGGTGCAGGACGCACATGTACCGACGTATTTAACAAGTTCGCACACCCCAGTTCGCCAACCCACATCGCAAAACTCTAAAGTTAAAACATGTAAATCCCGCTTCTAGAAAGCGTGCCCCGTGGGTACAGGAATAGGAGGCTGCATGAGGCTGAACATGGGGTGGGAGGGGATGGGAACGCCAATAGGCGGTGCAGAACAAGGCGATAGGTCGTGGGTGCTGCATGTTTTACCCCGGCTCGCTTGACGGATACGAGGCTGAGTGTTATTTGTTTTTTTTCGAGCTGGGGGTCGAGTGAGGGGTCATGATTGGATGTGTTCTCGTGGTGATCAGATATAATAATATATTTGGACTGACTACCCTGGAAACTTTGGGTCACCGCACTTGATGGTTTGGGATACGTGCCTGGAGTAACTTCACGGTTGATGAGGTATTGTGATGATCGGTTGCTGCTGTCTTGTGGTTGTGGTTGTTGTGCTGGAAAGCTTAAGTTGGGTTTTTGACGCAACCAACGGCGTATCAACCATGCAAATGGCTGTTTCGGGATGTTTGCCCGTCAAGGGGAGGAGCGATATACATATATAGTCAGGACCGTTGAGGTGTGGGAACCGGAACGATGGATATGGATCTGCGGGATATAAAATATTGGTACAGCAGAGCAAAGACAGCCTGGAGGCGGGCGGGAGTTGATATAGAGATGCATATGCCCTGCCCCGGTAGATCTCCAAGCCCGCGCCAAAGCACTACCTAGGTGGGCCCGCGCCCGCCCATCCCAATCTCAGGGGCATTTCCACCCCTATAAATCGCGGGCTGTGAGAGACGCGGCGGCAACGAACAGGCGCGCAAACGGGAAACATCCGGGCCGGGTCCTTAATGCGGAGAGTGCGGGAAAGGGCCCCTTGTACCGCTCTACATCGGCGCGGTATCAGAGCCTTTGGGCTTGCAGGCTGCTGGTCTAATCATGAGTATATATTCGATATTCAGGCGGCCTAGATTATAGGTGCCCTTTGAATACGGCGGCATCACCGCATTGGGGTAACTACGCCCGCTCACCACCTCGTGGACCGGCGCAGAAGGGCTAGGCCTGCGTACTCGGAGCTGCTCCGGGGCTCAGGCCGATGCGGGGATAAAAAGAAGATATTCAACAGTGTCGTGAGGTGAGGCGGGTGAGGTGGGTTGGATCGTGCCGCTGTAAAAGAGCGGTCGCCGCTTAATCTGATCAGACTGAAGATATCTCCACCCGGCATCTAGGAGTTACATCCCAGGCACCCGTTGCCCGGATGAGGGGATACGGGAATTGGCATGTTCCGCTGTCGGCCGGGCGTGTTCACGCATGGACTAGAAACTACGTATACCAGTACACCGGCACACCGCAACATGATATAAATACCCGGGGACTCCCCGATGAAACGGCACCGACACATATATTGTCGGCCTTTGGTCGACTTATCAGCTACATATCTAGAGACCCAGATATACCGACCTCTTCTTCTGGAGCGTGCGCGAAACTATATAGCGCTTCGACCGGCACATGTGATGGCCATGGCTGGATATCAATTCCCCCCCCAAAACCCGCGGCCGGCCAACCGGTAAACCGGGTGTCTCTCCCAATCTCCATGACTATCCTACATGTACTCCATTTAGCACCAGTGTACGCGAAGAAGACGGAGAAGAGGATCGCGCCTCTCAACTTAATATGATCTAATTACAAGACCCACGAATCACGAGATATCACTCGCACGCCAAGCCCCACTCCAAGACAAAAAATTATTTAGATTGGATTTGATTATGAAAACCATGATAATTGATATATATGAAAAAGATTCGGATTGATTAGGTTAGATTGGAAAAGATCGAATTTGGATTTTCTGTGGTTCTGCCACGGCTGAGAAGTGCATGGGGGATAATTGGGGCAGAAGATGGAGGTATGGTAAAGAGCAAAGGAGATTGAGATATAGGCCGGCTTGATCTCCAGGTTACTTTGGTGGGTTTCTGCTATATAAGGAGGAGCATACATGCATGCAGTGCCGGCCGGAAAGGTTGGTGAAATTTTTCGGGGGATTCATTGGCATGCTACTTGACTGCGGTGGTGGTGCAGCTTTCTTACGGTATTTCGGGCATGCAGCATATTGTGCAGTTGGTTCGGTATTTATATAATGCCACGCACCACTAACGCGTACGGTGTGGATTACATCGCATGTTCCCGTATCGTATGTATCTCATAAAAGAGGCCGGACCTGGAAATTGGGATGGGGAAGGTTGGTCCTTTCCCCTGGGCCTCGCTAGAAGGATATGGGCTTTTTACTGAGTCTGGGACTTGCGGAGACTGCCGTGTCATATATGGCTGTTCCGGTGTTGGGTGTACATGTACCATAATGAATATATCGATTTCTGGTATAAAGGGGCGTAAAACAACTGCAGCGATAATAATACATAGTTACTTGTAGTTAGTAGAAAGAAAGGATATGTTCCGTCCCAGTCACGAGTATATCACATTGCCTAACTGGCCGTCCTGTTGACAAATATTGCATATTGACCAATGCTTCCTAGGATCCTTAAGAAACAAAGAACACATTCTACCTACATGTTGTACCCTTGCCCCCGATATACCACCGTCCTGGGGCTACATAAGTAATGCAAATAAATATTTCTTTAATGAATAGCTAATTAACTGGGGCCAGCGACTTTCCACCGAAAGAGATGAGAATTATATATCAAAATGCCCCGTAAGCGAAAAATAAGAGCTCGTTCACCAATTGTGCAAATTGGTCAATAATCAGTGTTTTCGACTGGGATGGAACAGATACAAAAGACTGATAATTAGCAACCCAATCTATTCAGAAGTCCTATGCTAACCGACTAACCACCTGAAAAAGCTATTCAATACAAAAAAACACAAAGCCCCTCTATAATCATCACCACTACCTCCTAGGCCCTCGACTCGGACCCCCTCTATCACCCCTATCACCACCCCTCCTGTCACCCCTATCCCCTCCGCCCCTTCCCCTCTCACCCCGATTCCCTCCACCCCTTCCCCTCTCACCCCCCCTTCCTCCTTCACCCCTCCTCTTCCCCCATTCCGTCCCTCCACCACTACCACCGCCGCCGCCGCCACCACCCCTCTCCCTCCTCCTCCCCAACTGCAAAATCTCCTTCTCCTTCTCCCGCGGATCAATCATAATCAGCTCCTCATTCTTGCGCTTCCACGTAAGATCCTTGCCTAGTCTATCCTTCTCAAAGCTCAGCGTATGGTTCCACAGCGCCTCACTGGCACCCGGGCTAGGACTACGGGAGGGCCGCTCGTAGAGGCCGCAGGAGGCGCAGTTCGGGATGAAGTGCAGGTCGCAGAGGGTTGCTTCGTCGTCTTCGTCCAAGATGCTGGTGGCGTCTTTGTCGGCGATGGGGGCAGTGTCTTTGGTTGTGCGGGAGTTGATGGAGGTGGTAGGGGGGGCAGAGGAGGAGGCGGTGGAGAGCTTCTTTTGGAAGCGTTTTAGCGCGGCGAGCGTCTCGTCGTCGTCTTTAGTGGTGTCGTCTTTAGTGGTGTCGCGCTTACGTTTGCGGCCTTTGATGGATGTCGCGGGGAGGAGGTCTTTCTGGATTGCCAGTAGTGATTTCTTGGGTTTTGTAGCTGTTGTGGTGGTAGCGGGTGTGTCGCGGTCGCGGCGGAGAGACTGTTTGAGTGCCGCGATCTGGGCGTTAGTTTCTGCGAGCTGCAAGGCCTGGCGCGTCGGTGGCGGTGAGGGCGTACGGGAGGGCGAGCGGGCGGGCGAGCGGGCGCGGACGGGTGTTGGGTCTGGGTCAGCGAGGGAGTCGGTATCTTTCGACGTCACAGTCGTAACCGTCTCTGTCGTTGTGATGGCGTTCTTTGCCCCCGTGCTTGTCGGCTCCGAGATTTTCTTCTCCGCCTGTTTCTCTGGCGCCTCTTCCGATAGTGGTGCGGCGACTACGAGCCGGGTGTTGAATTTCGGCTTCTTGAGCACCGGCTGCTGCTCTGCCTCCTCCTCATCGCCGCCAAAGGACAGAAGCGCCTTTCCCTTCTTCTTGTTTCCTGCAGCAGCTTTCTTCCCCGCGGCAGCCTTCTTCTCCTCCTCCTCCAGCGTCCCAGCCTTTACAGCCGCCTCACGCGGCTTCATGTCCTCAAACGGATTCACCACCACCTCCGCCCCCGTAATCGTAACCGGATACACGGGCCTCTCCGTGCCCTCCTCACACTCGCCCTGCCCCATCCTCACCAGGTTATACAGCGTGTCGCCCACCACCTTGCCAAACATCGTATTCCTCCCCGTCAGCTCCTTTGTGTCCCCGAGCGTCAGGAAGAACTGCGAGCCATTGTCGTTGCGACGGCCCGAATTAGCCATGCCGACAAGGCCACGGCGGTTGAAGCGGAGGCGGGAGTGGAATTCATCCTCAAAGAGACCGCCAGGGTAGATTGCTTCGCCGCCATGACCGGTGCCAGTAGGGTCGCCGCCTTGCAGGATGAAGTTGGGGACGAGGCGGTGGAAGGTCGTGTTTGTGTAGTAGTTGTCGAGGCAGAGTTGCAGGAAGTTGCGGGAGGTGAGGGGCGTTTGGGTGGCCCAGAGCTCGAGGTCGAGATCGCCGTGGCTGGTGTGCAGGATTACTTTGGCACTGGGAAGAGTGGGTGGGTCAGTAGGGCAGAGAGAGGGAGGAGGGAGGAGGAGGGAAGAGGCGTGGGGAGAGGGGCGTACTTTGTCTGCGGTTCCAGGTTGTAGGCGGACGCCATTGTGGTGCGTGGTGTGTGGTGTGTGGTGGCCTGGTGGACCAAGATTGACGCTGAGTGCCTGGTGGTGAGGTTGAAGTCGCGAGAATGAGTGAGGTGAGCGAAGGTGTTTGCGGCGGGAGAAAGAGGTGACTTCGTGTTGTTGCAAGGGTGACGGGGCTAGGCCGCGTTGGGCGTCAGCCTGTGTCACGTTGCAGGCCAGCGTTGATCTGTGTGACAACTAGGAATCGCGCTCTAAGGGGCAAAGTGGGGAGATATCATTGACACATTGTTTTGTAGCTGGTGCGGTCTAGCTACTTTCATTCATTCACTTACTAGTACTACTACTACTACTACTACTAGTAGTAGAGTCCAGATCGGGGCGGGGATGGTCTATTACTATTGCTACAACGTAGCTAGGCTGGATACGGCGGGATTGTTAGTGTTTGATTGATGACTGAAGAAGAGGGGGGCGGGGTGGGGCTCGTGAGAGTGAGCTGTCAGGAAACAATTAACTTACTATAATATCGACACCCTATGTCTTTCTCAGGGGATTTCATTTTAGGATGCAATTTATCGAGAATGACGCATGTACCGAAGTGACATGTGGTGCATATTCTCGTCTGGCAAGAGCCTAATAATATCTCATCTGATACAGCTTGTATATGCAGGTAGCTAGCTGCCTTTGGTGTCGTCTGTTAGAGCCTAACAGTGCGCGTGCGCAGGTGGGCAGTTGCAGGAGGACTCAACAGGTAATAGGATGAACGAAGGAAGATGAAAGCCTATGATCTACTTATACACATAAAGCTGGCACGTCTATCTAGGCCAGACTGTGGACACAGTTGCTAGCCCACCTTGCAGTAGTGGATAAACGGGCCTATAGTAGATCTTTCCAGGTGTCATGGGATGCGAGTATCTAAGCCCAGGGTATAGGATGGCCCAAAAGGTATCGTTGAGACGGCCTTCTGTGTGCTAATAGAATTATGCTGTTGATGTTGGAGTACTAGTTGGGCGCAGACCGCTGTTTTGAGGGGAGGATGGTACAGAGACCACACACACTAGCGAACAAAAAGCCCATAGGCCTAGCTAGAACCACCCCACTCAATAGACCAAGCACAAACAGTAGCCGCCTAATCTACAACGGTATAAAAAGTATAACCCATGCCCCACGCCTCAAAACCTCAAAACCTCGCAGAATCCTAGATACTAATAGTAGTAGTAGTAGTAGTGCACGTGTGTCTGAGAGATAGACTCATATCCAGCCCCACCTCGCTGCAAAAACCACCAGTGTATATGCCCTATCAGTCCTCTATCTTATTCACAGACAGACAAAAGAAACGGAGGGTATCATATACAAACACTAACCGCCGAAGTAACAGGGTGGCCGTATTATGGAGCGGTAAATGTGTCAAAAGTAATTTTACCAACGCCGCGGCAGTAAATTATTTACCACCGGTGGTATAAGCACTGAATTTCAGTCATTGTGTCACGCTATCCTAGTACATTGGTACATTCCCCACCGGTATAAACACTGGGTTTCGGTCTTTATGCTGCGCTATACTAAATAATTATAAGTAACTGTCCAATCATTAATGCCAAAACTTATGAAAATTTCCCCCACCGATGGTGAAATACCGCCACCGATGGTGAAATTCCCCATGCGCCAGTGGACAATTTTAATATGCATTGGCATTATATGGCCCCTTTAGGCCAAAAGGTCTGTGCTTTTATCATAAAAACTAGCATTATAAGGGTATAAATTCTGGTGTTATTTTTCACTACCGGTGGTAAAATAATTTACTACCGTTAGTAAAATTACTTTTAACACATTCACCGCCCCCATAGCCGTATATATCTCCACTCAACATGTGCGGCAGTACTACAACCCCGCCAACTGAAGAGTGTAGATTCTCATCTCATAGACCTTAAAGTCGTCGTCCACTGTCCGCCCCGAAGAATGTTAGCCTCCATCAGCCTGAAAACTCTCTAGATAACACTACAGAAACATTGACATGCCGTGCACTTTACCGTTCCCACATGTCCATCTGGCTTGGCACGAGTGATACTCCATGCACGAGCACCACCGGAAGTTACAGTAATACTCGATAAGAACCTTGTGGTCAGTCTGACTGAGACTTCACTGGGGGGTTGGGGCCGCTGGGGACGCTGAGTTGTGAGTTAATTAACTTTGAGTATTGAGCGTTGAGTCTTTAAGTGAGCGATAACCCCCCACTCACGCGCATGTGCTAAATAAAGAGTAACTAAAAGAATGTGCCGATCGAGTACTAGGGCGATAAATAACAACTCACTCACTTAATGTTTCTTGTTTATCCCCAGATCCTCAGACGGAGTGTATGTTTATAAAATCAACCCCCCACAAAGCTTAACTGAGCTTCGCATGCGCACATGATATTGTGTGAAACGGGAATGCACTTGTAGCCTTGCTGCCTGTGGTGAGCAATATGGCCGATGCTTGGTAGCTATAGTTCATCCCAAGATCGTCAAACCAAGCAAGCTGGCACGTGCGGGATATTTAGTCGCTCCTTTATGAAACAAACCCCAACCCACACAGCGCTACCACTAGTCAGAAAAAGGAACCGAGTGATAATTCATGAACCACTCCATCATTTTGACAGCACCGGGCTAAACCCAACTAGTTGTAAATTAAGAAAAAAAATTAGTTACTTCTTATTTTATTAAATCTAGCACAAATCTCCTCCTAAATCTCATCCCATGTTCACAAATTGACACCCCCGAAATAATACCACAAGTGCCTGCTCAAATCCAGTAAAATTGCTTAACCACAAACTAGTCGGATAGGGATAAAACGCAGCGCGCACGCATCCACCGCCACCGCCCAAACACACACACAAGAGTTGTATCAATCTAACCAGCAAGCCATAGATCCACAAGAAAACATTGAACCATGAGAGGAGGAAAAAAGGAAAAAAAAAAAAAAGAAGCAGCAAACCAAGGGCATGTACCGGAGAAGAAAGTCCTTGAATCAAAACACCCCCTCCCAGTAAATAAAGCAAGAAAATAGATGACCCACAATAACACCCCGCACAGTATTTCCCAGAGAAGTAAGCAAGAGAAAGGAAAAAAGTCAAGGAAATTAATTCAAAGAAAACCCATGAGACCCCCGAGATGATAACGTGAAATAGTGGGGGCACCTAGTCCCCCTCGGAAACAATAGAAAAAAAAAGGAAACCTTCTATGGAGAGAGCAAAGAAATAAGGATAATACCATCAATCTATGACCAACCGTCCAAATCAAATGCGCCATGCAAACTTTTCTCTCTCGATCGTGAGAAAAAAGGAAAGGGGGAAAAAAAAAAAGGGAAAAAAGAAAAACAGCACACAAACTTAAAATGAAATCCGCTATATCTTATTTGGGTTCCTCCTAAACCATACTGCCAATTCTCGTCATTAGTCGATCCTATTTGGAGTATTAAGCGAACATCATATCGCTGAGCTCCATCTGGTCATCATCTTCAACCCAGGTTTCGGAGTCAATCCCGCAGAGGTCATCATCAAATTCACCGAACGAGTCTGCAGAACTGCCAAGCTCCCAATCCTCACTCTCCGCGATAAAATCCTCAAAAGAAAATTCGGATCCATCACTCTCCTTCCCCTTATCACTCCCTTCTCCTTGCACATCCTCGTCAAAAGCCTCTCCGGCCTCCCGCTTCCTCTTCCTGTCCATGCTGTTGTTTTCATCCCGGATGTGGAGCTCGCCATTCTTCCGTTCAATGCCCTCAAAAATATTGGTGCCTTGCTTCAGCACGATGATGTTCTTCAGCTGTTCCATCGGACACAAAACATCTCCGTTTTGATCCGCAATGGTCATTTTCTCTCTTGCAGAGCTTGTGTCAAGCTGGTGTTCTGTTGCTCTCTGATCCCAACGGTATTCCATCTGGCGGTCGTTAAGTTTTTGGAACATATCAAGGATATCTGGAGGGCCGGGCATGAGCAGCATGTCTTTTCGCCAATCCTTGACCTGGTGGTGCTTCTCGAAGAAGTGCTGCATGAGCGTGATTATGCTGCTCTCAGCTCCCTCCCAGGAGCATAAGCATGTATGGCACATAATTGAATCGTGGGAGAAGCATGCAGGAGTCTTTTCAGGCCTGCTACAGATCCGGATCAACTCGTAGTAGAGTTCATTGAATTCCACGCGGAACTTGTAGCGTTTGAACTCTAGCACAATCTTCTTGAAGAATATGGATAGTTGGAAGAAGGGGGGGACATGAAGGTCATTGAGTTCCGTGATGGCGCGGAGGATAAGCATGCGTGTTGAAGTTTGCGGTTTTATAGTACAACTGTTGCTCGCAAACATGCAAATTGGATCATCCCTTGTTCCGGGCTTTTTTGGTTTCCTGGGTTTCGGAGAGCCTGTTGTAGAGGTGCTAGCTGATATCACAGGCTTAGGAGGGGCAGCTTTCAGGTATTTAGGGAAAAACTTTGGTCCTCCGGCACAGATCGGAATCTTTTCTGGCCATTCAGCGCCATCCCAGTTCGGGATAGGTCTCTTGTAGGTGTATTTTTCTTCCGGTTGAAACTCCACAGGATATCTCGCAAGCCCTTGCATACCTGGCTTCTTTTGGTGATCCATTGCGAGATGAAAAATAATCTCCTCCCACGTTCCTAGGATCGTACAGTACTCGCAGCAAAACTTCACATCGAACCCACCACGGTTAAATAGTTCCTCGATTACCTCTTCCCAGATGAAGTATGCTGCCCTGAATGGCAGGGGGTTCTTGGGGTTTTTCTCATACCAAGTACGTCTGCAGTACTTGAATGTCTCCATGATGAAAGATTGAACCTTTCTGGACTCAAGAAGAAGAACTCCACCTTCCCTTCTAATAAAATCTTTAGCATACTTCAACAGCTTTGGCATGGCAGATTTGAGCTCCCGGAGGTTTCTGTAGTCTAATGCCTCCTCTTTACGGACTTTTCGCCTGATGCTTGTGTACTTGCGATGTGCCTGCTCTTTCTCTTGTTGGCGTTGTTGGTACTGCGCCTCGGCTCTTGTTCGTTCGGTTGTGATCTTTGTAACCAGCGTTTTCCAGCCTCGGTCGGTGAGAATATTACCAGCCTTGAGCGCAGCCTGGTAAGACGGGATGAGTTCAAGGACGCCCTCGGGAATTGGAGGCTCAAAGTGTTCTTTGCATTTCTCCGGGATTGAGATAAGACGTTGACGGCGGATTTCAGCGAGTTCCTCGCGGCGGTTTACAGCTTCTGTTAAAAGCACATGTTAGGGACTTATAAACGTATCAGGTGATGTTAAATCCCAAGGTCATACCAATTCTCTCGAAGTCGCACATCTTTACCGCCAAGTCCATCTGAACTTTAACCTGGTCCTTTTCAAACTCGATAAAAGTAGCGAGGATGCCCGGGAATTCGGCTTCCTGGCTCTTCTTCTCATCATAGGCAATCTTAAATGCGGTCACTTCGTCTTTCCAGTAGCACGGGTCTCCCCCGCCGAGACCATAGTAGTTCCCGCGCTGAGTCGAAACGAATTTCCCTGAAAATCAAACAATGAGTAAGACTTTTAGGTCTTGCAATTTCAACCGACAGACATGTTTGATGTGCTGCGTGTTTCAGGAGTAGGGGGGCTCACCCGACACGAAACAATGCCTTAGACACACTTGCGCAGCATTGACAAAATCGCGCTCATCCAGAAATCTCATCACCCTACCAAAAAGCATTAGCCTCCATCCGACATCACCTCCGGGAATGAAATAAATAAATAAATGAAAACATCAGACACATACCCTGATCCTATTATCCTTAAAACACGCAGTGCACAGCCTAATACCCCAAGTCCAGTAGCATTTTTTAAACCTAGGCGCCCCGCAAATCACGCATCCACTGCCTTTTAACAGATTCCACATGTAGTTCTCTGGGTAGCCATAGATAGGGTCCGGATAGTTCGGGAATGTATTTCGCCGACTCTTTGCCCAAATCTTTTCATCGTCTATGAATCCTTTGAAGCTGGAATTGACCCGACGGAGCTTCGCCAGCTGCGCCGGAGAACAATACGAGAAGATCTCCAGCCATATCTCGAAGGGGATGTGTGAGGAGATTGCTTTAGTTTTCGGGGTTCTTCTGGGCGCCGGCGAAGAGTTCGGGTTCCGCAATATAGATTTCCGGATAGGCAGCCGCACGGACATGCCACCGATGCTTTTTCGACGCTTCGATGGAGGGGCGGCGACGGTTGTGGTGGGGTGCTGGCAAGGCTGCTGCTGCTGCTGCTGTGGTTGCAGGGGTGGCTGCAGTGGTGGTAATGGGAGGGAGAGGGGAGCTTGCAAGGCTTCGGGGCTGTTGCTGCTGCTGCTGACATGGCTGGCACTCCATGCGGACCAGTCACTCATATGTAAATCCGCACTTGTAGATGTGAGCGGGATATGGGATTCCCAGACCATGCTCCAGTCCGGCTCGAGGACGGAGGGGGGAGTAGTCATCTTGAAGTTTTTTTTTTCTTTCTTTCCAAGTTTGTTTTTTGGTGGGGCAGTTGTGGTTGCTGTGGTGAATATTTATATAATACTCGTTAGGTTGGTTGCTGCTGAGAGCTCACACTCACAACTACTAGTGCTGATTCTACTACTTGGGTAGCGTTGAGTGAAGCTTTAGGTGAAGGTTGATTTACTCTGGATAGAGTTTGTGTTGGCTATGCCTGCCAGATGGAAGAAGCTGGAAAGACAGACAGTAAATAGAGGGGTCGAGCAGCTGAAGAAGAAGAAGTGGAGGGCGGGGTCAGAGGAGATAAAGAAGTAGGCAGAAACGGAGATTCACAAGGCTGACGGAGAAGATGACAGGAGGAGGAGGAGGAGGAGGAGAAAAGAGAAGAAGAAGAGAAGGGGAAGGAGGGGGAGGGGAGAGGAAAGAGGAAGAGGTGAAAGGTAGAGAGAGAAAGTGAAGGGAAGGGAAAAAAAAAAAAAAAAAAAAAAGAGCAAGCAGTCTAGTCGTTAAGCAATACGTAGTGTGCAGGAGCAGAAGTTAGTTATGAGACGGAGAGCTGCAGGATGGCATGTACTTTTGGATTTGCGGGGGATCGTCTATCGCTTATCGAGAGACTTTGCCAAGCGCACACAACGAATTCTTCCGGGAGGTGAATTGAGTGGGAGAGGGGGGGAGGGTGGAGGGGTGCAGTGTCAAAAGGGCAGGGGAAGAATTTGAAGGCAGGGTGGAGGGGATGGCGGGAAGGAAACAGCAGAGAGGACGTGGACGTCTGCGGTTGGTAAGAAGTACAGTATATAGACAGCTAGCACTTCTCTCTAGCGGGGGGAGGGATGAAAGTGGAATTCTTTTTAAAAAATAAAATACAAAAAAGAATAAGATGGACACGGCGGGGCCATAACATACATAGCATAATAGCTGGCTGGCGTGGTGACACGGCTATGGTGGACGCCGCGCCGGGGGAGACCAGGCGGGGAGGGGACAGGCAGGCAAGGCAGGCAGGCAGGTGGACAGGGAGGGATAGGGATTGATTGATTGAAAGGACCGAGTCTGAGTCCAAAGAGAGGACGAAAGAGCTCTAAGGAAGGAGACAGAGTAGACTAGGGAGGGGGGAAGAAAGAAACCTTACACTCTTACTGTGTCTTGCCATTAAACACGTTGTTAGCCAAAAGGGCACTTCAACCGTGTAATCCCCTCTCCTCTATATCATCAAGGTATCCCTTCATCCCCGTACAATAACTAACAGCACCCCTCCCTTCCATCCCCACTAACCCTGCTGTGCGTTTGGCAAAAGAAACACTGTGCGGCTCATAGGATGGCGGCTGTATGTGTACTGGTGGGCGTACATACGGTTGCTGTGTGCTCCTAAGCGGACTGGCGGTAATTGTGCTTGTGTGAGGCTCCAAGATGATTAGTTCGAGTAACTAGGGACGAAAGGTTTTGAGGTCTGTGGAGCGATAGGATGAGGTGAGTTCTGGGGCTGTGTGTCTTGTCCTGTCTCTCTTGTGTGAAATGTCAATGATACTTTGTGTATGTTAAGTTAACTAGACATAAGGCGGGGATCGATAATCTGCAACCCGCACATCCTCCCCCCCCCCCCCTCGCCAAAATTTCTCCCCCCGACGCATCCTATCCCCACTATCCTTCCGATCAATATCGATTAGGCCAGCATATCCACTTTCTTAATACATTATGTAGCCTTCCACTTTCGGCCAAATGAGCATCTTAGAATTCCAGCAGTACCTTGTTGATTAACATTTCTTCTTCCTCTCTCTTCCTTTTTTTTTTTTTTTTCCTTTTCCACCATCATCATCCTGCATGACACTAGACGAACGGGCCTTCCGCTTGGGAAAAAGATAAATAAATATGGAAATCTGATAATCCGAGAATCTAAAAATGTATTCAATTCATCCCTTCACCGATAATAACCCTAACCCTTAATTGGTTCCGTACTAATTATTATTTGCCTTATTATTCCTTGCACGTGATGCTGCATGTTAGTCAAGGTCAATTGTTGCCTCAATTAGTCAGTCAGTTCATCCAAAAGTATAACCTCCGACCTCCGATGTCACCTCCGGAAAACACCAGCTCCCCCGAGAACCCCAGGTAAATTGCAATATAGACCTCTAACCGAGCTCAATCTTCAACCGAGAACAGCGTTCCTCGGTCCCCCAAACGGCTGCCTTTATATCCATGGCTGTCTCTACAGCTTCTCGCCCCAAACACATTCCCCCAAGCGTGCCGCTAAAAAACAAAATCCGCCTGAAAGTGAGACCGAGTGATGGTTCATGATCAGCCCCATATTAGCTGCATGTTGATACGATTACTAACACTGTCTAAGATAACGGCAACACCACCCAACATTTTTTTCACTCACCCCTGGATCATTCCGAGGACAGCTTGCGAGATCTTCCTGCAACTTTATCAACACAAAGACACAAAGGGGTACGTAGCCAGCCAGATATTGTCAAGCCGGGAACAATACCAACCGCATCCACACACATACTTCACATACAGGTCCTCTACATACACATACACCGCTCTACATACCCATACACATACCCCCATTCACCCCATCAGTTACGCACCCACATACACATCGCATACCGATCAAGGTACGAAAGTGGAAGAGAAAGAAGAAAAGAAAAAATAATCTCACCACTCACTCCCTAGGCGGACCTCTCACATACCTCACATATTATACACATCTATCCCTCCCTCCCACACCCCCCCCCCCCCCCCGATCCACAAATGCCAGCTACAGTTCGACTCGTCAACTCCCTCATCGCCACCATAAAGACAATATCTCCAGCGTCCAATTGCAGTAATAATGACCAGTCCTACGATCGACAGCCCTATATCCCACCTACTTACGCTCCCCAACGAGCTCCTACTCACCTCGGCGAACACCTCCTCCCATGCTCTCTATACTCCCTAATCCGCACATCCCGCCGCCTCGCGATTCTCCTCCTGCCACGCCTCCGCACCCTCGCATGCTTCGACGACTTCTCTATCACCGCCCTGTTCTGGGCCGCCGCCTCATCCAACAGTATCCTCGCGAGTCAGATACTGACAAAAACAACCGCAATCTTCAGTATCCTTCCAGCAGTACACACTCCACCGGCCACCATCACAGCACAATCATCATCACTGCTACTGCATCCGACCCATGTAGCCACGGGGGAGAAGGGCGGTGAGCTGTGGAGACAATCAAGGATGTCCTCGGCGCGGGTGCGGAACTCATTCTCCACTATAAATGCATAACATACACCTCCTTATTCTGGGCCGTCGTGGCCGGTCATAAAAATCTTGCTACACTAATCCTAACATCCGATGAAGAATTGTCAAACATCAACACACTCAATGCGTGTGGCCGGTCTGCACTTCATGAGGCCGTCTACCGCGGCGATTACACAATGTGCAATTAATACTGTCCAACACAACAACCTGCGTTAACCTTCCAGACGCACAGGGTCGCGCGCCCTATACTGGGCCGTTGTAGTACGCAAAGACCCGGGGATGACCGCGTTGCTATTGGAGCACGGCGCAAACACAACATCCTACACTGATCCCGCCACTGGGCGGAAGCTTCTTCATCTGAGCGTTCTTCACCCTGGCACGTCTGCGATAGTGAGTTCACTGTTAGCACATGGCGCGGATCCAACTAGTCGTACATTGATGGGCCAATCAGCGTTGCATCTAGCGGCAAAAGCTTGCTGATGCAACCACGGTTCGCGTACTATTGACAAATGCAAAATGTGCTGAAAACATAAACACGCGGGATATGTTTGGATGGTCGCCGTTACATCTTGCAGCAAAGGCGGGCTCGGAAGAGGTCGTCAAAGTTCTGCTCGAGAAAGGTGCAGAGGCAAATGCAAGGGACGATTATGGCGCCACTCCATTGCATCGTGCAGTATGGGCTGGTAGGGAGAGGGTCGTGGGAATGTTAGTGGAGCACGGGGCTGATCCCCCATGGCCGATGCGTCGGGGAAGACCGGATTGGACCTGGCAATGATCAAAATGAGAATAAGAGAAGGGGGTGCAAGAGATGTTGTTAATTAGAGCGTGGGGTGAGATCGCCGATGGCGGGGACATACTTTGAACGTGCGGCCAGGAGTCGGAAAGGTTCGTTTCATAAACATGAGGTTTCCGGTGGTATGGGTATGGTTTGTTTCAGCCGGCGATCTGGTCTCAGTATGACGACGATCGTAGGAGGGATGTTCTGTTGCCTTTTTTCTTTTTCGATTCCATTTGTTTTATACTCTCCGCTCAGTGATCTGGTGTGATCTTTTTTTTTTTTTTTTTTTCCTTTTACGTGGGCTCTCATGCCTGGTGGTTACCCCCGCTTTCTCCCTGGTCGGGGTCGGGGTATCTGACCCGAACGTGCCTTTATTTGTTTGGTTGAGTACTCGTGGTTGCTTATCGTTGGCTAATATTTTCCTCTTCTATGGGCGGACGGTTACTGCTATTCATTATTTTTGATTAAGCGGGGGATAATTGGGGTGGCGATTCTTGCAATTAGGGAAAGGTACGTGTTTTGGGCCTGTCTGCACGTCGTCCCCGATCAAAAAGAAAATGTAAATGGAATTAATGACGCGGCGGTCAAGAGGGCGGTAATGAAGGTAATGATCCGGTGGGCGTTATTTGCTTCAAAATAAAATGGAGCTTAGGGATATTAAAAACACGTAAAAGAAAAGGAAAAGAAAAAAAAGAGATTCACTGACGTTTGTGAAACAAGACGCTGTCATACTGTGATAGACTCTGCCGAAACTCGCATTTTGAAACCTCGCTGTTGACATTCATGAGGCGAGGGGTAAGTCCTCTTCAATATATCCCGCAGGAAGGAGTTTGTGTTTATTACTGCTAGTTACCCCTCACTATTCATCTAATCAGTCGTG